GCTGTAATTCGTAGTTCAAAGTTGAAAAAAATGCTCGAAAAAGCAGTGTTTTCACATTTCATTGATTTTCTCGAAAACTATAATTATAAATGAATCTAATAGATGCATATGAAAGTTGAATGTTTGGGAAATCTAGCAATATATCATATATTACTGTGGTTTTTATCCAATTTGGCTGTAATTCGAGTTCAAATTTGAAAAATGAATAGTTAAATGAAGTGTTTTCACATTTTATTGATTTTCTCAAAAACTGTAATAGATATAATGTATCCAAAAATTTGAAAAAAAATTTAAAAATAAAGTTCGAAAACTCGCACATTTTATTGATTTTCTCAGAAACTATTATAGATAAATGAGGTAATAAAAAATTATCGCTCGAAAAAAAGGAGTGTTCTCACATTTTATTGATTTTCTCATAAAGTATAATAAATAGAATTGATGCATTTGAAAGCTAGTTAATTAACGTTCGAAAAAGTAATGTCTTCACATTTTATTGATTTTCTCGAAAACTATAATAGATAGAATGGATCCAAAAGATGCATATGAAAGCTGAATGTTTGGAGAATTTAGCAAGTATAAATATATTATTGTGGTTTTATAATTATGGCTGTAATTCGCGTAGTGATTAAGGGTAGCTGAGAATGCGACGATGATGATGGTTTCTTCTGGAATGCAGTCATTTGGATGCAGCCGAATTAGCCTAATACAGGATAAAATCGGTGCAACGATGTGTGTGTGTGTGTGCGTTGCGGAAGGAGCAATTTCCATAATCAGCTTTGAATAATTCGTCGACTGAAGACAACCAGTGCAGTCTAAACACCTCCAGATCCGTACTTAGTCTTCCATTAAAGCTGACTCGATTTCGCCGCGCGCGCCTTAGATAAGACGGATTGCTTATGGATGTATTAATCGCGTTAATGCTCGAGGTTTTGTACGGGTATAAAAGGGCCATCTCCTTCGGAGAGGTGGAAGCCTAACCATCGAGGAAGGGTCGTCCTGCGCTCTCTCATTCATTCACACACTCACTCGCTTTCTCGCACTCATTCTCCTCGCTTCCTTCATCAACGCGCGCGCCTCTTCAAAACGTTTCTCCTTTCGCGCGGAGAAGGACTTCTTGGAGTGCAGGTGGTCCCGCGTCTCCTCCACTTCCACGCCGCGCTGCACCGGCCCCAGATTCTCTCTCTGAGGTCAGCTCGATCGATCCCCAAAATACTGGGAACCATCGACACCCAACCCCACCTCCAACACTTCTTTCGCTCGCACGCTCTTCCCTTTTTGTATTTGCTCTTCTCGGATTCCCCGCTTTTAGAACCATCTGTTTGTGGAGTGGGACGAAAGTCCTGCGGAGATCGCGTGTTCGGACCTCATTAACAGGAAATAAATTCGCGTCCTCGAGTCAACAGTCGCTCTCCGCAGCCGAAGATTAATGGGGATTCCGGATTTTGAACTTTCCTCTCCGAACATACCCACTAACAATGCTGAATTACATACATTATTACAGTCAGCATCAATAACATTTCACAACTTTAATAACTCAAAGTATATTATGATACCAATAAGATTTAATGCATTTCCTATAGTTACATCATCAATTTGCAAGTTTATTAGCTTAGATAAGAGTATGAGTTTTCGAACTAATTCAATTATATTTTGTATATAAATATAAAACTACATGAAATACCAATTAAATTGTAATACTTAATTAAATATTCTGCAATTAGTTTGCTTGCATACATTGTAACTGTTGCGCAGAATTTCATTCGGTTTATGCAAAGGTAAATAAATGGAATTGAGAGAGAGGAATTGAAAAAAAAATCTGTAATTATATAAATTGCTTTCGGAATAATGAAAACGATTCCAAACGCACGGAAATCGTCGCTATCGCCGTTGTTTTTGTTGTTGCTGTTGTTGTTACCGTTGATCCGCAATAATTTTAAATTGAAATTGGAAATCGCGCGTTATTTAACGATATTTGCTTTTGTGCGGAGCATAATTCAATTTTCCCATTCGATTTCCATTTCCAATTTCCTCGTCGCAAAACCCTATCGCTATTCCGTGCACCTTCTACATCCACCTGTGATGGATTTCCTAATTTACAAACCTAATGTTAAACCCTTTAACGTTTTAATCAAGTCCTCTGAATCGGTGCATTAATTTAACTTGTTATGCCTTAATTTGTGGGTGTCCCACGTTGGTCACCAAATTTTTATTTTTTTTTGCTGCAACCCAACGTTCTTTGAAATTTTATTCCCGGGGGTTTGATTTAAACGCTATTAGTAGGTAATTTAAAAGTTTTCTTTTCAAAGGTAGTTGAAGGGTGTACATTAATCACAATTCCAGCGAAGTTTCAAGGGTGAAGGATTCCCAAAACGAATTCTTCCCCCGGATCGTGTGCGTTTGATCTGGTAACTAACCCGGCTCCTCTAACTCGTTTATCCTCCGGATGCATTGTGGATGTGTGTTTGTTCGGTGAGGGCACATCTCCGTCGCACTCGTTGTACGATGGGGATATATTCGACCCTTCGAACCCAGGAGATTACGGTTTACATCCCGACCGACATCATCAACGGGCGGAGGAGGCGACAATGGGATTCGCCAATTATCCCGTTTTCAAATTAAAACTAAAAGTTATAAAACGCACGATCACAAACTATTATCATTTTGCAGAAGTTGTTATATCTGAAGAAGTTTGAGACTAAAATATAAATATCAATTTACCTTGTTATGTCATCTACTTATGCGAAGTTGTTTCATAAACTGCTGTGATTTGCTGTTATGTTTATTACAAAAATATATGAAGAAGTTTTAGTGTAGGAGATGAATAACAATTTACTTAACACCTTTAGCTTATTATGTCACAGCGTAGGGAAGAAATATGATAAAACCGTAGCGCAATTTCGAAACTGTAACTATTAGTTAGTGATTTTAAATGTAAGTTTACTTTTAAAGTTGTGCTATGTTAAGGAATGTAGTAATCATTTTCATCTCTCGAAGATATATTATGAGATCATCGTTTTATTGATTTTTTTTTTAATTGAAGCCAACGGTTCTTTAATTAACAGTCACTTAATTCCTTCAATTAAATTTAATTTGATTAACGTTTAATTACATTTTTGATACTAAAGTGCTGATGAATCTTGAAATATATATAAAGATTTAATGAATTGTAAAAGGTACTTGTTGCATATTTTGCAAGTACTTGTACAAGTTATTCAACAAATGGGGCTTAATGCAATATTAATCAATGAATTTCTTTAATTAACAGTCACTTAATTCCTTCAATTCAATTTAATTTGATTAACGTTTAATTAACTTTTTTGATACTAAAGTGCTGATGAATCTTCAAATATATAAAGAATTAATGAATTGTAAAAGGTACTTGTTGCATATTTTGCAAGTACTTGTACAAGTTATTCAACAAATGTGGCTTAATGCAATATTAATCAATGAATTTCTTTAATTAACAGTCACTTAATTTCTTCAATTAAATTTAATTTGATTAACGTTTAATTACATTTTTGATACTAAAGTGGTGATGAATCTTCAAATATATAAAGAATTAATGAATTGTAAAAGGTACTTGTTGCATATTTTGCAAGTACTTGTGCAAGTTATTCAACAAATGTGGCTTAATGCAATATTAATCAATGAATTTCTAAATGATTTTAGTTATATGTACTAAATTACGCACAAATTAGGTAATTTAAGAAAATATCCTTTGTTCATTATAGGCAACCAAACTATCACCTTCGATTAATTCATATAATATACAGTAATACCTCAGTTTACGTTAGATTCATTGTTTGGTGGAAACTTAATTAATTCTTTTTTTTTTTTTCAACTAATTTTTCATACTTCTAAAAAAAATTAATTTAATAGAAAGAAAAATGTTATGATTGAAATATATTTATTACCAATATCAAGTAAACATAAAAAAGAATGTCCTGAATCAACAATCGTCTATAACGTCATTTTCTTTATTTATTTATTAATAGTTTCAGTATTAATAATGTCCATATAATATAAAAAAGAGTCAATTACAATTTCGCTATTAACGTCTGCTTAATGGATTCAATAATAATATCATATATAATATTTATTTATTCATACATTCATTCATTATGTTTTTTTTTTATTAAAAACTGTGTTTTCATTCATCTTTTAAGTGTAATAACAGTTTCCTTTCGATTATCTAAGGTTCCTTACAATCGTCTTTAATATGCGAAGGACGTTCTCCGTCTGTTTGTTGCAGTTTCTGAAGTATAATAACTTGAATTTAAAGCTTCTTAGGTTTTTCTTTTTTTTCATGTGTGTTTGAAGTAGATGAGAAGACCTAGAAAAGGGTCATGCAGTTCTGCAGCGTCGTCGGGTAGTCCGTGTGCTGTGCGGATCCTTGGATCTGCTGGGAGGATTGCACCGCGGCCATGGCCATCGAAACGGGCGTCGTGGTAGGATGATACGGCACCTAGAAGAGATCATCATCGTTGAGAGAGCGATTAGTAAGTGTAATGTGATGTTGGGCGTACGGTGGAGTTGTGATGGAATCTCGGATCCAACATCATCGCAGCCGCAACGGCCGCTGCCGTCGACGTCGCCGAAGAGTGGTTCGATCTCGCCGCCAACATGTGATGGTTGACCACGTTGTTGTGATGCTGACCGGGACGCTGGTTGTGACCGAGGATCTGGTGCTGGATGTTGTGGCTGTGATGATGGAAGTCGGACGGATCTCCGAAGTGATGGTAATTAGAGTTCAGGGTGGCCAGATTTCCAGCTGCAAAGTTTTAAATGAAAATATCTGCTTTCCAGCCGATTGAAGACGTCTTACTGCCAGCCGTAGTCGAATGGTTCTGATGGTGCATGATCAGATCCTGGATCTCGGAACCTATGGGCTGAGTCACTGTGGAAGCCGTCGCTGCGCTACCGTTGTTCGCCGGGAAATTTATGTTGGAGTTGTTGGCGTTCGCGTTGTTCGATGACGACGAAGACTCCGGCGCTGCCTGGTAATCAACAACAAACTTAATAACTTACACACTAAAACAACGAAATCAAGTGTGTCTTTAACGCCACCACATGAACGTATTTGCCAAGTAAGTAATGAGTAAGATTGTACCTGTTGCTTCGAAGATCTGCTGCTTCCCGATCCACTTCCACTTCCCGAATTCCTCATCGGTCTCGCCTTGTACGGAACCTTAGCGCTGGCGTTCTCCCCGTGGTGTCTGGTGAAGTGCTCCTTCAGCTTGTCCCTCCTCGAACTGGCGTAATCGCAATTGGAGCACTTGAACGGTTTCTCCTCGAGATGTATCCTTTCGTGTCTCACCAGATGACTCTTCTCCATGAAGCCGCGGCCGCAGACGCCGCACGAGTGCGGCCTCAAGCCATTGTGGCTCTTCGCGTGACTCGCCAATTGATTCTTCTTCGACGTGGAGTACTTGCAATGAGGATACGAACACCGGTAGATATCACCTAGAAAAAAAAAACGTTCTTCTGTAGTGATTTATTTTTTTGTGGAGGAATAATTAATTATACCGGCGTGTATCCTCTTGTGCGCGATCATGTGGCTGAGGAATTTAGTGTGGAAGCCGCACGTCTCGCACGACAAGTTCTTCTCGCTCGAATGGGTCAGCATGTGCGTCTCCAGGTTGTGCTTGTATCGGAACGACTTGGTGCACTGATCGCACTTGAACGTCTTCTCCGGCGTGTGGATCTTCAGGTGAGAGAGGTAGTTCTGCTTGACGCGACACTTGAACGAACAGAAATTGCACTGATACACGGAATCCTCCAGATGCTTGGCGCGGTGCGCAATTAGCTTAGCTATTTGGTCAGTCGTTGTATCACCTCATCAATTGAACGAATTAATTAGTTAATGCGAATTTATTTTTTTTGTTGCAGATATCGGTCTTACAATAATCACATTTGAATGGTGGCCCAGTGAAATGCACTTTCATGTGGTTGAGGTAATCCCCGTGGTACTGGCACACGAAATTGCAGATTCCACACTTGTACGTGACATCCTTGGAGTGGCTGAGGGCGAGGTGCTGCTCCAAGAGGAGGCTGTCGTTGATGTTCGTGAAGCAGATCGGACACTTGATGCCGACTTTTTCATCGGTATCCGAGTCTGCAAGAAGAAAAGTTTGTTTTTTGTGAACGTTTCAATTACCCCATGGATCACCTAGAAGAGAAGCAAGCTGCGTTAGCAATTGAATTACCGTCGATGTTATCTGTTAGGTAATCGGACAGGCTGATCTTCTTGTTCTTCTTGGCGAGCGCCCTCAGAGCTGCCCCTTTCAGACTAGGCTTCAAACCGGCCATCAGCTTCTTCAGAAAGTGCTCCTTCCTGTTCCTGTTCCTTGCCTTCACGATAATACTAGCATGCGGTTCCTTTTCGTTGCCCGAAGAAGCTTTACCTGCTTCGCCTTTCTCGCCCTCTCCCTTGTCTTCCGGCTTCAACATCTAGAGCACAGAAAAAACGGCAAGTTCAGCCAAGTGTTCGCTTTTCAATTTGTTTTCCGAGTGATCACTTTTTCGCTTTTTGTCTTTTACTTACTTACTTGTTCGTATTTGGCATGGAGCATATCGTATTTGGCCTGGTAGTTGGACATCAGCAGGTTGTTCTGCATGAGCGTATGCAGGAAATAGTAGAGACTCAGCTCGCTCTTGGTGTAGAGTTCGCAGTGCTCGACGTGCTTGTAAATATCGTTGTGATCGACGTTCGTCCAGCTGACCTCGCGCAGCAGCTTCGTCAGCTCCTTTTCGCGATCCTGGATGTGCTTGCCGACCCAATCCGTCAAGATCTGCAGGAGCTTGTAAAGGCTCACCACAAACATCTGAAATCAATACATTGTTGGTGGGTGCGTTTTGTTGTTGTGAGTGTATAAGCTTTTGTTGCTCATCATACTTTGTTTTTCAGGAACTCCTGCAGCTCGAGCACGTGCAGACCGAGCACCTCCTGACCGTCGCACACCTCGTTCAGGTGCGTCACGATCCAATTCTCGACCAGATTTCCTAACTGCTTGAGCTTGAACCGTTGCGTCAGGTAGAAGGTGAAGAGGCAGTTCTCGATGCTCAGTTTCGTGCCCAGAAACTCGATGCAGTATTCCACCACTTTGGTCATCAAGAAATGATCGGCGAGACGAAGAAGTTCCTCGACGTTCGCATGCTCCACGGTCACGCGTCCCGTGTACATGTAGTTGATCAGCGTGTTGAAGATCTCCACGTCCGTGCAGCTGACTGTAAGATGTTCCCTGGCGACTTTGTGATGCTTCAGTATGGAGTCGAAGTAAGGTGAGCCGCATGCGAGAACGTTGCGATGCGCCTTCACCACTTTGTTGTTAACGAAGAGCGTCAGATCGCAGAAACTGCTCTTCTGCTTCTGATCATACAGCCTGTCCAGCATCGCTCGAGGCTGCTCTTCGCACGAGAACGTCATCGACGATACCTCATTCATCATTAACTGAAAGAGAAAACCATATCACACCACACGAGTACCTCCAGCAACAACAAGAACAACACACAAAACACACATAAAAAACAACAACATCAGTACAATCCTCGCACTACACATCTATTTCCTTCCATCGATTCTTCATTTCTTCGCAGCTCTTCAATCGCGGTCTTAATCCCATAGCTCTCTTTCATAATCATCATTCTATCAATATTTGTAGCCTGTCTTCATACCTCTCGATACATCATTTCAAAGCCTAAAAACAAGAAGGCCAAAAAGCAAACATTTAACTCTACAATTTTCATCAATATTCCTTTTTCCCAATATCTTAATAATAATAATTACTTAAAGCGAAAATGTAACTACATTAAATACGGATTTCTAAGCAATTCAACAATTACTCTTTGCTCAATGTTATATAATTAATTAATAATCGTTACCAAGGAGACGAAGAATGTTATAATCCTTAAGAACGGGATTCTTTAGCAAAGTGTTACCTAGGAGATTTAAATAGTTTGATTCTTTAATACTTTAATTTAAATATTTCATTTTCTTAGCTATGGAAAACTAATTTTTTTTTATCAAACTTTTTCTTTTGTCCAAATTCCAAAGAGAAATGCATGAATAAAACCGCGATTGATTCGCCTCCACGTATTGCCGGCACTCTTTTATTGCTAATCATAAAAAAAACCTATTGATTATTCCATAAAATGTGCCCGGAAATGAAAAAAGAATAAAAGGAAACACTGTGTATATTCGGTTGCGGTTTATATACAGGCGCGCAACTTTGGTTGCCTATAAGTTTAATTGTCGGTTAAACAAATGCGTGCGGCTTATAAACAATTGAAACTATTGCGTTGTAAGACCATTTAAACGAGCAATAAATCGATGCAGATGCAGAAACTAAAAATTTAGTAAGTAATTGGATGCTTTTTCGGCATGATAAGCGAATAAAATGTACATTACTTTTGATTATTTTAGTTTAAACTATGTATACTTTATTTCAAGGCTAACAACAATATCAATAACAACGTGGATTTGGGAATATCTAAAGGATGATGTTGCTAGGATACAAGCTTTATTGGGTTGCAAATCTAAAACAGCGTGAGGGATGGTATCTATGTACGTTTTTTTTTTATTTGGTTGCTAAAGAGTTTCAAGTAGAATTTTTATTGTAGCAACCAGACATGCTGTTCTTCTTACGTTATGAATGAGACGTCGATCCTGATGGGTTTCCAGCTGCTGGAATCGTTCATCGTCGATGAGGATGGTTGCAGGATAAATGCATTGCCGAAGGGGGATATTGCACGACGCGGAAAAAATCGAAACGTCCTGCTGCTGTCGTTATCCTTGCACCTCTCTCCTGTAGGGAAATCCCCCCCCCCAATCCCAATCCTGCGGCGCTGCCAACAGTCAAGGACGTAGACGAGAAATCCCCCAAGCGGCCAGCAGGAATATCACCAAATTAGGTGCGGTTCCGTCTCGCAGGACTGCTGCAATTAAAAACGTAAACAAATCATGTCTCATCAAACCGGAATACAAGGCACGTAAAAACCCATCGAATCGAATTAGAAACGTTTATTAACCCAAATTTTCTTAACAGCAAATGATGAGCTGAAGACTTACTTTTCCAAATGCAGGAATGGTAAAATAAGGCTTCTCAAAGTGATCATAGACAATGGTAATTATACGCATCCCAATGAACTTTGCCATGGTTATTAATTTTGTTTTAATTTGCAGAGCAACTGTCGCTGGGCAACTGCAAACCTCTGGATGGAAGCTGGGACAAGGATTTTGACAGGTTCCTCACACCTGTTATTGAGGAAAACAATCCGTGCTACATTTTGTACAGGTCTGAACATCTGTTTAATTTCTTTGCGAATATTCTTGATGTTTATTTAGTTATTTTGTAGGTTGGATAGTAAAAACTCCATGGGTCATGACTGGATCTTGATCAGCTGGTGCCCAGACACCGCCCCCATCCGGCAGAAAATGCTGTATGCATCCACAAAGGCCACACTGAAACAGGAGTTCGGCACTTCTTTAATCAAGGATGAGATTCATGGCACTGTTTTGGTAATTGTTAATTTTTGTAACAATATTTATTGAATCTAATTAGATTATATTAACTTTAAATTTCGTTACAGTCTGATGTAACTTTCAATGGTTACATGAAGCACTTACAAACTGGCGGAGCTCCAGCACCTCTTACGTCCAGAGAGGAAGAATTACTGGAGATTAAGAAGTCGGAGATTAACACGGACGTCCATATAGATACAAAGCATCAAACGCTCGGCGGAGTGCTGTTTCCCATTTCCGACGAAGCCAAGAACGCCATCAAGCAGATGTCTTTAGGTGTATACGATTATCTTCAACTTAAAATAGGTGAAGAATCACATAATATCAGCGTTTCTGGAAGAGGTGAACTGACCGATTGATTTCGTAGATATTAGCGAGGAGAAGGTGCATTTGGTCACGGCCGAGAACTTAAAACTGGACGAGATGATCTCGAAGGTTCCCAGCGAAAGCGCTCGCTACCACTTATTCAACTTCAAGCACACTCACGAACGAGATTTCCTTGAAAGCATTGGTAAAGTAATCAATCAGCAGCTAAAGATTTTCTTTAAATTGACCATTTTCTTTGCAGTTTTCATTTACTCCATGCCCGGTTACAATTGCTCAATCAAAGAACGCATGTTATACTCCAGTTGTAAAGGACCTTTGACGGACACGATCATCAGCTGGGGCGTAAACATTGCTAAAAAGGTAATATTATATAATAATTAGTCTTTGAAAAAAAAAATAACATTTGTTGTCTTTGTTTTCAGTTGGAAATTGATGATCCAACAGAACTATCGGAACAGTATTTGTACGAAGAGCTGCACCCAATCAAGAACCTCCAGAAGCCGAAGTTCTCGAAGCCAAAGGGTCCACCCAGTCGAGGCCCGAAGAGACTCACGAAGACGGCCGATCAGTAACTTGCCTTTTTACCACAATTCCTAATTACCACCATTATCGTTCTCTCTCTCTCTCTCTCCTTTTCGTTTAGTTCCCTCAGTTTTTTTTTTATTAATAATTTTCTTTTTTTTTGGTTATTTCCACGCGAATCGCAATCTTCCAAAGTTAAACGAAAAACGCGGAATCACTATTAATTTATAGTAAGAGACGATTGAATGTTTGGTTTCTTGTCGCCAGGGACGCAATTTCCCGTGCTCAAAATTACCGGTAATATGCGGACTTTCGCATACCTAAATCTACTATTAACTATATGTTTTAATCTGATACATATTAATATTTACATCCGTAATTTACTGCACTATTTTTTATATTTATTATATATTAAGTGTATCTTCTATGCGAGCGGCATTATTTATTGTTGAAACGTAAATTTTATATATCATTATTAACGATAAGATCGTAACGTTTTGAAGTACGAAGAGATGCGAACATATGATGTTTTTTTTTTTTAAATCGTAGATGATGTAACTATTCATTAAAATGAAATAATCTATTAACATTTGTATTGATGGATGGAAACGGCTTTCAGACTGCGTTTTTGAAGCGCAGGGACCAAAATTATATACGAACAAAAAATCTAATTTACTCTTTGATTTGAACTAATTTGGAAACCCGTAACGACTCCAATAGTTGCTTTATGAAAAAACGGAATTGATTATAAAGAGAACACTAAATCAGAAATACTCCAATTTAATGCTCTCTTTATGAAACTTACTTATCCTTAAAGCGAGTATTAAAGTGTCGAGTAAAGTGCGAATTAACGCTAATTTCTTTTCAGCGCGACATCTCTCGATTACAGAACGAACCTAACCAACATCGATTTATATTCTAATCGTTACAAATTAACATACGCTTTGCATACAATGAAATGTTAATGCTAAAAAAAGTATAACGTAATTAACGGTAATTGAGTTAATTACGTATCCGTTAATGATTTAATATATTCAAATTTTTCTGACAACTCTCGTTGGTTGGCGGTGGCTTTGATCGATCAGCTGATGGTCACAGCCCCCTATTTGTTTTCAAAACAACAAAAATGTTGACAAGATGAGATTGTTCTCCTACACTCGGCTCTGCATCATCCTAACAGTTTTAATCACTATCTTTTACCTGTACTGGAGCGTCTTCAATTTCGAGAGCAATGAGTCCGTTCAGATTGGAACTGGGAGACCTGTGCTTCTTCCCACCAAGAAAAAACTTGTTAACAGGTGAGAGAACAATTGAATTCAGTTTTGATTGTCGATCCTAACATTTGTTTTGCAGTCACATTGTTACGGTGGCTGTGGTCGCGTGCGGGGACAGGCTGCACGAGACCCTGACTATGATCAAATCCGCTATAATGCTCAGCCAGGTACATTTGAGGTTCATCGTGGTCACTGAGGATAATCTCATCGAGAACTTCCAGGAAAAAGTAAGAGATTTTTCCTAAGCCTACTATTATATTTCTGAATTGTCATGATTACATTTGTCAAAGTCATAGACAAATTGATTCGTTTTATCTTTTTTTTTTTGCAGTTGAGCGAATGGCAGGAATTTACTAACAACGCGTTCACTTTCCGTGTGATGCCGCTAACGTTTCCTAAAGACAATGCACAGGAGTGGAGGAAACTGTTCAAACCGTGTGCAGCTCAAAGATTGTTCTTGCCTGTAAGTGACAATAGCCTAAATGATTTAGTTATGTTAACTCTTCGAAGTCTGTTTTGGATGATATCGACTCGATTTTGTACATGGACACGGACACCCTATTCCTGACTCCCGTCGAGGACGTTTGGGAGCATTTCAACAACATGAACTCTAGTCAGATGGCGGCGTTAGCACCGGAACACGAAGATCCAAACGTCGGATGGTACAACAGATTTGCGAGACATCCGTATTACGGCCCTTTGGGTAACCTCGATAACCAAACTTGAACATCTAAACTATTAATGGATAATTTCAGGTGTGAATTCCGGAGTTATGCTGATGAATCTGACAAGGATGAGGGAATTCCAATGGGTGAACTACGTGATTCCCATATACAAGCGGTACAAACTGAAGATTACTTGGGGCGATCAAGACATCATCAACATAATCTTCCACTTTCATCCGGGTTTGTTTACGTAAAATCCAATTGCAAACGCATTCAATAACGCTTCTTTTCTGCAGATAAACTTTACATTTATCCTTGCCGCTACAACTTCCGTCCAGATCACTGCATGTACATGAGCGTCTGCAAAAGCGCAGAACGCGCCGGTGTTGCTGTTATCCACGGCTCCAGAGGATTCTTCCATTTGGAGAAGCAACCGGTATTCACCGCCATATACAGAGCGTTCGAAGAAGTAAGTTTTTCTTGCTACAGTTTAAATTTCAAACTTAAATTTGTCAATTAGTTTCAATTGGGAGGAGACATCTACCAGGACTTTTACGAGCCTCTGGAGAACTACTTGGATCTGACGACGGAGACGAGCTGCGGCCACATCATAGGAATTTATCTGAAGAATCTCAGGAGGTACATCGATATCAAAGAGGACAACGCTAGATAATTGACTCAACGAAAACTTAGGCAAGAACAAATTATTTTTGTCTCTTTCTCTTTATACATACGAATCTATATATATACACTTTTTACACTGATATTATTGTGCAGGGAGGATAGGAAATTTTACGTTAAAGTAATTTAATTTAAACTAAACAACAACAAAAAAAAAACAGTATTAAAAAGAAAACGCATTTCAAACAAGACTAATCAACGGATTTATTTCGGTTACTTATCGTCGAGTTTCTCGATGTTTTTCACCTTCTCCACCTCCATGCGTTTATTGTATTCGTTAACTATATCCAAGTTCTCCCTCTGCATGTAATCTTTAACGCCTTCGTTAAACTTCTCCACGCGTTTCTTTCCAAAAACCGAATTCCTTTCGCGGACATCATCTATCGTCATTCCGGTTAACTTTAATATTGCAAGAGTTGATCCACCGGCCACGCCTCCAAGCACCATACCTAACCAACAAACATTAGTTTAAACCAATCAAATGACTTCATTTGATAACCAACCTAAAGCTCCTCCCACCAACCATCCCCTAGGTCCCATATTAAACTTGTACATCAATCCCGTGCAAATTCCCGCCACGAAATGCTCCATTATACCAGTCTTATCCCTATACACTGCAACAGCAGAAGAAATCCCTCTAAAAAAAATGCTAAATTAATTAAAAATCACTTAACAATTAGGAATAACTTACACATAACTAGTTGTGAATAAACTCAAACGCCAGGCCCATCTGAAAGCCCCCTTTCCAAACCCTAAAGTCACCTTATCCTGCAGACGTTTCTGAAACATCAACCATCAATGAAATTACACGATTATAGGTAAGTTAATTTTACTTTTGCTTCAATGTGATCTTTGAAAACTGTCGCTTGATTGTATTTAAAGAATTCCAGATAGGCGCTCTTGCTGTGCAAAACTCCACCGTACAGAGCACCAGAGAAAATGCTCATGCATCCGACTTGCAGCACTGTGTTCAACTGTGGACTCAGCTCACCGAATTCACTAGAAATTTCAAAGAGAAACACACTCAGTTAAGGTAATTTTAATTTTATTTATGACATAAATACTTTGGTGTGAACATGGTGACGACCCTATCCCATCCTGTTTCTTCTGTGCTTTTGATCACAGTGCCCTGTACAGGCTTATCAAAGTTCTTAAAGGGATTATTGAACATTCTGGTTTATTCACTTAAGCTATTTCAATAGAACACTTGACAAAACTGACGATTTTAAGGTTAACTTATGTAATTGATTAACACGTTAATTACATGTTAAACAACGTTGGGAATACGTTTTAATTGTTTATAAAACGTTTATTTTGATATTATTGTGTTTATTATTAAATTCTTGTAGAGGAATAATAATAAATCGCGGTAGTTCGTTTGAATCACGTCAAGTAGTTCTAATGACTGAAATTTTTGAAAACACTGATCTAATAAGATTTTTAATTTTTTCTACCATAACTTGAAAACTATAATACTTTTGATATAAATTCTATTATCAGTTATCAATTTATATATTATATGATTAAATCAACGGTTGTAATTATAAACTATAGAAAAAGTTTTACAGTTTTGTTTTAATTCTATAAAATTCGTTTTAGAGAAATTGTAGAAATAATTTGAAAAAATATCCTATTAGATTGTTTTATATATAGTTTACGTTTTGAACTATAATTAGAGTAGTTCATTTGTAGTTGTATAGGGATTTTAGTTTGATGAGCGTTGGTCATTCTGGGAACGAAGAGATGTCAATAAATTGTTTTAGCCAATCAGTGGTTGAAATATTGTTATTCGTTTAGATTTCGAGCGCTTTAATTATACGAAATACAGCCGTAAGTTTACCTTAAACTCTAATTACCTGTAATCAAGTACAATTTGCGTGTAGATTTCTGTATTAAAAAAAAAATATTTGTGTATCATACTTGGCCTGCAATGTCACTTTAGCTTTCTCAATTGTTTATTCATGTGTGTTTTGTTTTTTCATATTGTTTATATTCAGGAAACAGCAGTTCAGGATGGAGAAAGCGGAAATGGTCGATGATATAAGTCATGCATACCTAGCCGAGCAGAGCTTCTTGGTGCATCCGGATGATATGGAAGGTGAATCTTATTAGATTCTCTACTTTATGGAATGATTCAAATTGTTGTTTTCTTTTAGATGATGTCGATCAATTGACTGCAGAGAACACGGACGATTCTAATCACGATGGTGAGAAGTTGGGAGTGCCTCTGAGGGAGCAGGACAGGTTTCTGCCGATTGCAAATGTAGCTAAGATCATGAAGAGGGCGATCCCAGACACGGGCAAGGTGATTTCGGCTGATTTTCTCTTCATCTAGTAATTAACTATGCTTTTGTAGATCGCTAAAGATGCGAGGGAATGCGTGCAAGAGTGCGTTTCCGAGTTTATCAGTTTCATCACAAGCGAAGCGACCGACCGGTGTCACACGGAAAAGCGGAAAACCATCAACGGCGAAGATATTTTGTACGCAATGGGACAGTTAGGCTTTGATAATTACGTAGACCCTCTTAAGATATATCTGCAAAAATACCGAGATGTAAATATTAACTTCTTAACACGAGAAATGTTATAATCGATTTTGTTTTAGGCTGCAAAAAGCGATAGGAATCTGCATCCAAACGAATTGTTCGATGACACTGAAGAACCTTTCAGTAAGTGTATCAAGTTTTGCCTATAATCATGAGTTTATGTTATGAAATCAAATGCGCCAATTGGAAAGCGCCAATTTAAAACGCGCTTTCAAATCCACCAATCGCGTCGATGTTTACTGTCTAACGATTGGTCCATATTTCAGATCCAACGATGTCCGGAAGTATAATGACCACGGAGAATGGAACACCGGAAACGGTCATCTACACATATCAAGACAACTTGCATCAATTCCAACTTGCCTAAAATCTGCTAGAAGAAGCGAAACAAACAACTCATTCGATTTTGTTTATTTTTGTACTGATGGGAGAAAAAAAATATTTTATTTTATTTATATATATATACATAGTTTTTATTCAAGAGAGATTTACCACACGTCCGTCGCTTCTTCTTCTTCGGACGGTTTCGAATTTTCACCTCCAGTTTTCTTGGAATTCACAGCAATAATAATGTTTGTAAATGTTACATTTTATTCTCGTACCGTGTTGAATCAATAATAAATGGAAAACATTTCTTTGCATATCCTTCGACTCGAATGGAGATTATAGAAGCGATCCTCTTCTATCATCAACAACAACAATAATGTCCAGTTTGCGAGAAAATTCTCAAAGTTCATAAGTAAATATCAAGTAGGATTGGAGAAAAAACAAAGAAATCTGCTAGTAGTTCAAAGACTTGATACTAGATGTCTCCTGGAGTATAAACAAAGCTCGCATCAGCTGTGTAAGCATGGGAACGATGTTTTGAGCAAACGTTTTCTTAATTAATTTTCGTTTTAATTTAAGTTTAATTATCTTCGAACAACTTTCAACCAGTGAAAAGGACAAGAGAAAAGCAGCGTTCGGGAGTGAATTGAAAGTACACAGAGAAAACACGGCGCAACGAATGTAAGTAAATTAGCGAAACTGGAAGCAAAGTTCAAAAACTTTCGAACCAATCGAACTTGATTAATGTCAAATAAATTAACTTCCAATTAATTCGCGAATGGAGCTCATTGATTGGTGGAGCGAATTTCAAGGGTTTTTATATAGAGCCCGGGTAGCTCAGTCGGTAGAGCATTGGACTTTTAATCCAAGGGTCCAGGGTTCAAGTCCCTGCTCGGGCGATCCTCTTTTTCTTTCTTAGAAAAAAAACGGTATTTCGCAGACGTTTAAATGTTTCAATTACCATTGAATAATTCACGCGTTTCGCTACGACCCAGTCGAATGGGATATAAAGTTGGAGTTGCAATTGCGTTATTTATAAAATAATAGTTTTCGTTTATTTTGTTTAGTTTTTTTTTTTTTTTGGGGAGAGGGAAAAAAGTTTGGGTTTGACATGCGCGTCGCGACGCCTGCTGTTCGCGCGACGTCCGGCGTCGCATTCGAACGGCGCTCTCTGTCAGAGCTCCAATCCGAATTCAAATCCGACAACCGAAGAGCACAATTTTGTTAACAAAACTTCTTTTCTCTTTGAATCAGATGATGCTACGCGTTTTTGTCTTCGTCTTTTTCGTCGCTTCTTCACTGATCGACTGCAATCACGCAACTGGTAAGTCAATTTTAAATTTGAATCATATAAATTACGTATTTGAAACAAGAAACACAACAAAAATCTTAGATATTTCCACGTACTTTAACATCAATGAAAACAAGAATGTATCCTTTTCCCATTCAAATAAAATCCGCCACAAGTGTTGCTTAACTTTTCAAAAAAAAAAATCTACAAATTCCTTTTTACGTTCGTAAACGTATCTTAAAACATTTTTATTTGATTATTAGTACTAGGATTTATCCCTTGGTTAGCAGTACTTTCTGCAATTATTATAATGCTGTTACATAGGGTTTAACAAAACTTTTACCGCTCGAGCAGGGATTTGAGCAATTCAATTCAAAATTCAAAAAATAACTTTATTTATATAACATCTTTAACATCAATGAAAACAAGAATATATCCTTTTCTCATTCAAATAAAATCCCTTTTAAATACGTTTTTTTAAAACAATTTTATTTGATTATTAGTACCAGGATTTATCCCTACTTTTCAATTTCGTTGGTTAGCAGTACTTTCTGCAATTATTATAATGCTGTTATATAGGGTTTAACAAAACTTTTACCGCTCGAGCAGGGATTTGAGCAATTCAATTCAAAATTCAAAAAATAACTTTATTTATATAACATCTTTAACATCAATGAAAACAAGAACATATCCTTTTCTCATTCAAATAAAATCCAGCACAAGTGTTGCTTAACTTTTCAAAAAAAATTCTACAAATTCGTTTTTACGTTCGTAAACGTATCTTAAAACAATTTTATTAGTACCAGGATTTATCTCTTACTTTTCAATTTCGTTGGTTAGCAGTACTTTCTGCAATTATTATAATGCTGTTACGTAGAGTTTAACAAAAGTTTTACCGCTCGAGCAGGGACTTGAAGAATTCAATTCAAAATTCAAAAAATTATTTTATTTATATAACATAATTATTGACTCAAGGGCACAAACATTTATCTTATTACAAATTTCTCAACATAGTTGTTTTGGGTTTGCATCGGTTTATATTTCTTACACTTTTAACAATGTTATGGAGATAATTGCAGAAGCAATTATTTATATTTGAAGTGTTTAGGATACTTAAGATTAAGATTTTAAACTATGGTTGTTGTATACAACTATTTCTATATTGGAGGGAAAATTTGCGGGGGAAATCCCTTTATTTTATCTAAACTGCTTTAAAAAATATATTAGACCTCTAGGGCCTTATCAATTGTTTATGTAAGACAGGAGTTATGGTGTTGGATGTGAGAGGGTGATGGCGATAGTATTTACATGTGGAAGAGAGAGAGAGGTTATGGTATGGGAGTTTATGTACAGAGTCCACATTCCATTGTCAAATGACGAGGGAAGGGTTTACGGCCCTTTTTTGGGCTAAAAGTGCAATAGTTTTATGATTTATGAGACATAAGTCTGCTTGTTCTTCTATGGTTTTGGCTGCAACGAGTTTGTCACATAATTCCTGCATTTTTTTGACGGCCTTCTTGTACCCTTCAGATCCGCTTATCTTCTGCCATATAAGTGACTTAATTCACTTTCAAAGTCCTTATTTTTGTAACGTTCCCTTGAATTCGGCACTTGTCTCAATATTGAGGTCTGTTTGTACTTCAACTCGAGATTTATTCCTTAGATCCCATATGTTGACTTTTGGATGAGGTTTCTCCACGAAACTCTGTCTGCATTCTTTGTATGCCAGCCTGTTCCGGTCGTAGACGTTTTTCCACGAATCGTTGTCTGCAGAGAAGTTTTTATTTTGGTGATGTACTTTCGACATTGCGAGGTTTATGTGCCGGACTTTCTTTTGCAGATCCTTGAGGGTGATAGTGTTCTCCAGGAACACGAAGAATTCTGGTGTGGTCCTCATCTTCGAGACCTTTTTAGGGTTGATCTTGTACCTCTCTTTCAGATCCACTTCAACTTCTTCCGCTGACCAGTCCTCTGGGAGGTTCTACATGACAAAGACATGTTTCTTTTTATTCTCCCTCGAGAACGTATACAATTTTGTTTTGTTTTCTTCAAGTGTTTTAGCTGTGATCTTCGATACTTTGAGGGGTCGATGGAGCCAGTTCACAGAGAAATTTTCGCATGTGGTGATCCAAAAATCAAAAAAATTCGCCCAACGTGGGGCTCGAACCCACGACCCTGAGATTAAGAGTCTCATGCTCTACCGACTGAGCTAGCCGGGCCATGGAAACTTGGAAATCTATACCATCCAGAATTTTCCGTTCAATTAGAAATTGTATTAAACTTATTTGTAATTAATTTTAATAGTATTAATTACATTTTTACTACTAGAGAAACACTAAGAACGAGGTTTACTTATTCAGTATTTGATGAAAATTCTTAAGTGCGATGGTGGTGTAATGGTCAGCATAGTTGCCTTCCAAGCAGTTGATCCGGGTTCGATTCCCGGCCATCGCATAACACTTTTACCACTGCGATTGGATAATAGAAATTTAGTTGTTTTTTTTTCATTAATAATCTCGAAAGTTACGTAACGTAACGCAATGTTGATTACGTAACCCAGAAACAACGATTTTCGAATGTCTTCAGCTTATCGTGATTTACTCGAGAACCGAGCGTGCTATTTCCATCATCTTATACTCAAATTAAAGCTGAAACTTTCACCTTCTCAATAAGCCCACTGATTTCTGTTATCTGTCTGCTATGAACTGTCAAAAGTGTCATTGCTGAAATGGAGCGTCTTCACGTTTTTTTTTTATTAATTTCGGGATAAACACGTTAGATAATTCAACACGAAGTGAAGATAATACTATTGCTTATTGCTCAGAATTGTAGTATTTACTGTGTTATTACAATAAGCTTTCAGATTTTCCAACTGAATAAAGAACCGAGCGTCTTATTTCCATCATCTTATACTCAAATTAAAGCTGAAACTTTCACCTTTTCAATAGACCCACTGATTTTTGTTATCCGTCTGCTATGAACTGTCAAAAGTTTCATTGCTGAAATGGAGCATCTTCACATTTATACTAATTACATAATTCAACACGAAGTGAAGATAACACTATTGGTTATTGCTCAGAATTGTAGTATTTACTGTGTTATTACAATAAGCTTTCAGATTTTCCAACCGAATAAAGAACCGAGCGTCTTATTTCCATCATCTTATACTCAAATTAAAGCTGAAACTTTAACCTTTTCAATAGACCCACTGATTTTTGTTATCCGTCTTCTATGAACTGTCAAAAATGTCATTGCTGAAATGGAGCATCTTCACATTTATATTAATTACATAATTCAACACGAAGTGAAGATAATACTATTGCTTATTGCNNNNCATTTATATTAATTACATAATTCAACACGAAATGAAGATAACACTATTGCTTATTGCTCAGAATTGTAGTATTTACTGTGTTATTATAATAAGCTTTCAGATTTTTCAACTGAATAGTGAACGAAAAAACGACGCGAATTTATCGTCTCCTGTAAATATTTCAGCAGCGAATGCATAAAACATAAACAACAGGTTTCCGAGGATTTGCAGGTCCTCCGATCTGCTCTAGCCGAAAGTTTGAGTTTGCTCCTTTTCTATTTATTTTTATTTTCCTTGTTCCCTTCTTCACTTCCTATTTTCCGAGCGAAAAACACGGAATAACGATTTATGTTTATATTCCCGATTCCAGTTTGCCTTTTCGGATCTCATTCAACCATCCCCCATCCTCGTTTTCTCCTCTCGACGTATGTAATTTTATTGCGGATAAATCGGAAAAACCGAATCGAATCATATAGCAAATGTTATAAGAATGGATCGACGAAGGTGATAAGTTTTGTAAATATGTAAAGATGAAACGAATAATTTTGTGAGAAACTGAAAGAATTGGTTACAAATAAAAGAAAAAGAAGGAATGGAGCGGAAGAGAATGCGTGTTTGCATTATTTAATTGGCAATTAAAAGGGGTTAGTAGGGTTTTTGGTTTACTCGCAATTTGTCGACGTTAAAAAGGAGGTCGCAAATTCGACGCCGGAATACGGAATTGCTGCGCTCAACAAATAATTGGCTAATTTACGGCTTAATTAGGCGAGGAAAAGTTTGCTTCTTCTACTCTTTTTTTTTTTCACAATGTTAGCATAATTTTTGTTCTACATTCGTTTCCTTCTTTTGGTCCCTGCGGAGGAGTTCGGGTTTTTGTGTGATGCATCCAACACAACACTACAACAGCAGCTCTGTACAAAGTTTTCAGAGTGAGCGCGGAAAATACGTGCGGATGACTTACGTAAACTGTGAAACTGTAATTAAACTGCACTCTACATATTTATGCGACCGCACGAGTACGACACTACACCTCCCATTTACCACTACACTTCTCTTCATCCTCTTCCTCCTCCTCCACCGCCGACAAACAGAAAGGATGTATTGACAAATTCCTGGCGATCCTCGCTCGCTTCCCAAACGGAATTACACCTTATTTACATTGTATACTAACGATGCCCCACACGACACTTTCACCCTCATAAATAATGCTCACAAATCTCTCACTTGATCTGCTTGTAATGATCCAAAACTTAGCGCTCACCGCAATGATTTTGATGCATTTACATATTCAGACATTACGATAAATAATAATTTGATAATTTATAGATTGTGGTATTATTAAGCAAAAGTGTGTTCGCCCGAGCAGGGACTTGAACCCTGGACCCTTGGATTAAAAGTCCAATGCTCTACCGACTGAGCTACCCGGGCTGATGATAAAAAACGGATTCAAATTTGAACAATTTTCCCACGCGCGATAATCTCTTTATCACATTTTAAATAATTTCAAGGTTGTTTTCATCAATTTACGTAATCGCTGACATTGAAATTGTGCATTTTTTTGGTGTCGTAACATGAGCCCGGGTAGCTCAGTCGGTAGAGCATTGGACTTTTAATCCAAGGGTCCAGGGTTCAAGTCCCTGCTCGGGCGTCTCTTTTACATGAAATCATTGAATATTATATAATTTTATAAGTATTTATTTACTGGTTGACTTTAAATGTATTTGATTTTTGTAATGGATTCAGTCGTTTGGCTGTAATTGGTATTAAAAAAATGAAGTAATAGAAAATTAAAAGCAGATTTTGGTGATTTTCTCAGAAACTATTGTCGTGTCCCAGAGATGGAATTCTGGACACAATAGAATATTGTCTTGTGTTGTCGTTGTGGAGTCTCAGTTGTAGGAATTAAATAGTTCAATTTGTTTTTTAAACTAGTTTATTATAATTATTGGTACTCTTTGGTTCCCTTTCCAAGACAATGTAGATCAGAGGTTCCCAAACTTTTTTTGTGTCGTAGACCCTTTGCCATGTTTTTCGGTTTTGGAATACTTACCTGATATTGATTTTTTTTTGTAAATTTTTAACTGTAGTGAAGTTTAGTGTTAAAAACTTAAAGTAAAAACACATGTTAAGTTTTATACATTTATTAATTGAATTTAAATTAAATTAAAACTACTCAAAATAGAATTTTGTATCTGTTATATAAAATATACGTAACATAAAATAAACTAAGCAATAAGTAAATGTTTTTAGTGAGAAGGATGAACCTGATGCTTTAATAATAAAAATTATCAACATTTGGCGTTTAATCTAAAATATTCTGGGCTAATGATGTATAGTCTGTTTCTTTTTTTCGTTAGGAGATTGGTAACAGCGCTGAACCCCCTTTCCACTAGGTATGACGATGGAAAGGAAATGAAAAAATTTCCTCGTTATATTCCATAATACGGGATAAGTAATGGAACGGGTATGTTGTTTTGCAGCCAGAATTGCTGATATCCGTTTTTAAACTGAACCTTAAGTTCTTCGTTTGTACTTAGTTCAGTCAGTTCCTCTTGTATTATGACATTAGTTTTTTTCTATGTCACCATATGGGTTAATTATCCACGGTGGTATTACCATAGACCAGCGGTCGGGGAACCGGGGTAAATTACCCAAAATGGGGTAAAAATGATTTTTTTTTGGGTAATAGGGAAATTTTTCTAATGTGAAATTACTAACATACCAGAAGAACCTCCAGGTTTGGCAGAGGCAATTCTTGAACTTCGATCCAATACTGAAGCACGTATTTAATTTGAGACCAAAGCAAATCTGTCGTCTTTTTGGTAAAAAAATTGCTGACATTTGCAACAACCTACCTTTGTGAACAAGGCTTTTCCACTCTAATGAAAATAAAAACGAAAAACAGAAATCGATTAAACGCCAAAGACTGTATATTCAAATTGCTCTTACATCAAAAAGTCCCAATTTTAAAGTAATTATATCAAACATGAAGCAACACCATGTTTCCAAAACCTGAAGGGGGAAAGTTTTCAATTAATTTTTGTTTGTTCCAATTTAAGAATTTTATTTTGTTTTTCTATTACTATTTCTTACTATTTTCATGTAACTTTTTTTTTTATAAATATGTAAATGCAAATTAATTCAATAAATAATGTTTATTTAAAATTTACATTGATTGTTTTATGAATTCAGAATGGGGGGGGTAATATCGACTTACGCAATTTTTTTTGGGGTAATGGTTAAAAAAAGTTCCCCGACCGCTGTTCTAAAGTATCTACATTGTCTTGGAAATAACCCCAATTATTATAATAAACTTGTTTTAAACCAATTCAATTATTTAATTCCTATAACTGAGACTCTACAACGACAATACCAGAACAAGATATTCCACTGTTTTCCAGAATTCCATCCTTCGGACACGACAATAACTCCCTCGGTTATTTCTGTTGTGTCATCGTTTTAGCCTGTACTTCACGTTCAAAAATGACGCATTACTTCACAGTTTATAGTATTTACACGTTATTACATAATTAAGATTATAAGATTTGGCGTTAACTCAATAGAAACAAAAGAGTATGTGCGATGGCCGAGAATCGAACTCGGATCAACTGCTTGGAAGGCAACTATGCTGACCATTACACCACCAACGCCCTAGTAAATCTCTTTGAGGTTATTGCAAATTTTCTAATTTGTTTATAATTAACAATTAATTAAAAAAAAAATATTCATAATTTTACTCTTTCCAATCCGAATATCGCTTTTTAAATATTTATTTATCATTTAAACTCACAAACTTATCACTTGCTCAAGATGATGCGAAGTTGTCACTTATTGTTTTTTATATATTTTTTTTTTATAATTGTTGTTAGAATCAAAAGAGATAGTGTGCGATGGCCGAGAATCGAACTCGGATCAACTGCTTGGAAGGCAACTATGCTGACCATTACACCACCAACGCCCGTACAAATGTTTATTGCAAATTTTCCATTGTTAATAACTAATTAATTAGCAATATCATTTATTAAACAAGTTGTCAAACTGTCATAAAGTGTTGCCATCTTGGTGGCCATCATTAACTAAACTATGATTACTTGACAGATGAAACGTCATTTAAAGTATGGATGGGTAAAATGTATATTAATATGTAAATAGAAAAATTAGTTTATTAGATAATAGATAACTTTTAACATACGATTATATACATTGCATTAACTATTTTTTCTTTACATTTTTTTTTACATTACATTAATTGTCTTGATTTAAGGTTTGATATGATAATTGTAAAACGTCGAATAATTAAAATTATCTTAGACTTTGAAATGACATGTTTACTAATAAGTAGTAAATATTTTTTTTTTGATGAAATGTTGACAAAATTAGGATGGTGCGATTTTAATTATTTTCTTTTAGAAAGTCATCGACTTCTTCTTCATCATCATCATCGTTATGGTTCAAGTCCAATTCGAGGTCATCGACTATACGCTCGTAGTAGGATTGGATTGCGCTGTCTGGACGTTTGCGCCAATCGACGGGTCGAACGTTCGGACAGATTATAGGTCTGTTCTCGGCCACGGTCGTCTTCATCCTCTTCTCCGGCGGTTCATTTTGCTCCTCGACGATGCTCTCGATGATTTCCTGATCCGTCAACGATTGGCATTTCAACGCGTCCTTCTCGATGACGCTCCAAGTCTCAAGAATTTCTTGCGTGAGCTCTGGTTGTTTGAGCTTGGTTCGTAGATGGTCGATGTTGATGTTCAGAGGTGCGGTGAGCTTTGGTTGCTCCGCGAATTGTCCTTTGAAATTGAAGAGGAAGCAGTTATCCCAGCATGCGACGATTTGATCTCGAGAGATCTTCTCCCAAACGTGGATTAAGAGCGAAGCGAAATTCCGGTAGTTGAAATGGTCCAAGAAGTTGGTTGAGGGTAGATCGGAATCGATTAGAGATTGGAGCAGTTCCGTTCGGTAGTTCTTTTTCACTGTTTGCATTAAACCTTGTTCGATTGGTTGGTAGGTGGATGGAAGGGATTTGATGAAGAATTTCGTTTGGATGAGACCGTCTTCGGATGCGAGGACGGTTTGATGAGCCGAACAGTTGTCGAGGATGAGAAGGGCTTTGGGTTGAAGATTGTTGGAGGTGAGGTGGTCCCTGACTGCTGGTACGAAGAACTGTTTGAACCAAGAGGAGAATATGTCCCGGTCGATCCAACTATTGACGTTTCTTTTATAAATCATGTGTTCATCGTTCTGGGATGTCGAAGTATTTCCGATGCAGAGTGGCTTCAGCTTATGGTTGCCCGATTTGTTGACGCAGAAGAGCAATGTTACCTTGGATTCGTTCATCGATTGTGTCTTTACTATAGTCTGTAGATCTTGATCGTTGCTTGGCAAGAGTTTGTAGTAGAGGATCGTCTCGTTGCAGTTGTAGATCTGCTCATCGGTGTATTGGTCTAAGGCCCAAACAAACTCGCAGCACTGATCATCGCCCATCTCGATGACGAGGGCGTCTCCGCAATCGCGAACCGAATTCTTCATCTTCCATCTGGTCACCCATCCGCAATTGATGTCAGGTCCTTTATCGTTGAGAGCGTATCTGAAGCGTTGCGCCTGCTCCCGCAGATCCATATTGCTGATGGACAAACCGAGTCCGCACCTCTGCAGGAACCACTTGTGCATGCAGATGTCCACCGGATCGCCCATGCACGTCCACGTGTCTCCCAGCTGCACAAACTTGCACGAGTTCTTCATCCATCCTCGTATAGTGCTCGCAGGGATGCGCGTGTCCTTCGCCACCGACGGTATCGTCGCTCCTGCTAGAACCCTCGCTACAGCGTCTGTCTTCTCCTCGGCTGTGTAAGCGTGCCTCACTATCCGTCCATTTCTCACGTAATTCGTCGATGATGATGTTGATGATGTTGCTGCAGCTGTTAGAATCTTCCGTTTCTCTTTTGGTGCTTCAGGTGGAACACAGCCGTCGCCACCGTCGCTCGAAAGGGCTTGCTGCTGCTGTTGTTGTTGCAGCAGCACAGCAGGACGAGACACGGGAAGGACGACGAACACACGGAACGAATCACAACGTGCTGCCGGGATGCGCGTATCCATTTCGACACGTTTCTTCGTCCATCTGAGGCTACGGATGTTATTTCTTCGCTCCGCGATAAACGGTGAAGGAAGAGGACGGCGGCAAACGACGAGATTCGCGTTTTTTGTGTGCAGATGTGTGTATGCGCGATTCCGATCGATAATTCCTGAAATGCATGCGAACTACAGCCGATCGTGTGCCGGAGTGCGGGTACAGAAATTTACAACGATACTCTCTCTCGCTCTCCTTTCCCATCACCCTTCGCCCTTCATTCACATCCCTTCTCGTACCGCCTCGCCGCAGCGTCGCACAGCCCGACCTACCCCAAACATGTCGTCATCTCATATTTTCTTAACTACCATTATCATGACAACATAAGCTGTCAAAACATATAATTGAACAATTGCTGAAGACAGTGGACTTAAACGCCCACATTCTATAAAATGATCCATTATAACAGCGGTTTCCAAACTGTGAGGCGCGGACTCTTGCCAGGGGAGGCGCCAAAAATTTTTAATAAATTAATTTTGATACTATAATATCTTCAAATAAATAAAACGTGTCTATATTATTTAATCTATTATAACAATAAAAGGTAAGGGAGGCGCGGAAAAAAAAAATTTCGGGGAGGCGCGGAAAAAAAAATTGTTTTTGGGGAGGCGTAGTAGCATAAAGTTTGGAAACCGCTGCATTATAAGTATTATATACAAATTTCAGGACCGTATTCAGCTGTAATATTGACTATATGAGCCATTTTTTTCATGTATCCATATTTGTGTTACACTAAACTTGCTGTTAACTTTTCTTGTTACACTAACAATTGTTACGTAAAGTTAATTAATGACTAAGATATAAAGTATCTTACCGCAAAACACTTGTCAAATGTGACAATCAATCGAAATTACAAAAATTGACTTACTTATCTCTCTCTAAGTCAGCGGTCGGGGAACTTTTTTTAATCATTACCCCAAAATATTATTGCGTAAGTCTATATTACCCCCCCTCCATTCTTAAAAGAAAACAATCAATGTAAATTTTAAATAAATACTATTTATTGAATTAATTTACATTTACATATTTATAAAAAAAAAGTTACATGAAAATAGTAAGTATGTAATAGAGAAACAAAATAAAATTCTTAAATTGGAACGAACAAAAATTAATTGAAAACTTTCCCCCTTCAGGTTTTGGAAAAACGATGTTGCCTCATGTTTGATATAATTACTTAAAAATTGGGACTTTTTGATGTAAGAGCAATTTGAATATACAGTCTTCGGCGTTTAATCGATTTCTGTTTTTCGT